CTATATTTTAACCAAAATTCACTTTGAATATTCTTTGCACAAACAATAACTGACTGGGTGTTTTAAACATTAGTATGGCCACCTTCCTACTGGAATTTATAAAGAATAAAAAATGCTAAATTTTAAGGTAGACATTTAAAGGCAGGATGCCTTTATTTTCAAATACTCCTTTTATAAATGAAATGTGCTGGAAAATGGCTTTGGAGTCAGACAGAACTGGGGTTAAATCCTGATTCTATCACAAGCTGTTTAAGTTAAATAAATTTACTTAAATTTCTCTCAGGCAAAGTGTCCTCTCCTGCAAACAGGAATAAAATCACCAACATTGAAGGGATATTCAAATTGAAATTGATGTTTTAGACTTGTGCTTAAAGGGAGTTCTGAGAATACAGAGACATTACTATCAATCAAAACATAATAAATCAGATATGAACTCCACCCCAATTAACTCAAACCTATGTGAGATTAAATAGAAAATGCCTGTTTACTTTTTTTACAAATCCCAAGAGAGTGAATGATGATATACAATAATAATGAAAAGTAGAGGTATTATAAAATGACAAAAAGTGACCCTACATGTGTCTAGAGTTATTGAAATAAAATGAGAGGCTTTGGTGGTCATTTCTATAGAGCCTGTGAGAGGGTGACATTGAATGTAGTTAGGCACTCCAGTTTGAATTTTTGGAGTAATCACCAGTCAAGAAGTGTTCCCTCCCAGAGAAGTTCTGATCCCTTGTGGCTAACCAGGCAGACCATCAGTGCTGACCTCTTAAGAGAGTAGCAATTTGTGTCAAGTAAACTAGTGACCATTAATCAGTTCTTTTGCTTATGCACATATGTAATTTCCTTTGAATGCAAGAGGATTCAAGACTCCAGTTTGACAGTAATAATACTTTCTTAACTAGTCATTATGATGCTGAATTAAAAATCATAATGGGTTCTAAAAATCTTTTTATTGAAACTATATTTTTTGAAGAGTATTTGGGGAGTCAATGATTATGTCACATTAAAGTAACTCTATGTCAAACTGCAAGTCTACTGAGGTATGTCATGGTGAAAGCCAGATGGTGGACCAATCACTGCTTCAGCAGATACCACATGATGCAAGGGGAGCACACTGGGGACTAACCTCCACTCTGTGTTCTGGCAAAAAATTCTGAATCAAATCCGTGATACCAAGTTTACTGAGTGTTAAACTTGACTTCACTTAACAAGATCATAAGTTACTTCTTCTCAAAGTTGAATTCAGATGTTCAGGTGAGTGCTTCTCATTAAGTATCCTTTCATCAGTAAGACCTTGGATCATAATTACAAATTAATTTTTAATGAATTACCACCAAGTTTTAGTAACTATAAAAGATTAAAAGATGAAATTATATGAAAAAAATCTACAAATAATCTTATAGTTTAGTTTCAAGATAATGTCATGGGGAATGTTACTACTACAAACAGTTTTATTTAAACTTTTATTTTCAGTGCATTTCTCTTCCTATTTATAAGCATTTTATAGATTTTCATTCATCTTTTTTCCCCACTATTGTTTTAACCAATCTAATCACCCTTGTTTGAAACAAAATCAAGTACCATTTATTATTTTTACATGTGAGATTTTATAAAATTAACCAGTCTTCTGTTCCTAGGTAAGTGGACTTGTCAAATCAATATACTATTGGGGTACTATCTCATAAAAGGTGGAGTAAGAAAGAATATATTTACAAAATGTTTTTCAAGTGTGCAGTAGATAGCCTTGGCACTATTATGTAGAAAAACCATTTTATCTCTTTTCCAAATTAGTCAGATCCAAAAGATTTGGATAAGGAAGACGAATTTCTCTTTATATCTTTACTGTTAAACTGAGTATAGTTGTTCTATAAGACCTAAAATTAATGGCTACTTCCAAAAATCACTTTACMTTGTATATGTGGGTTAATAAACCTGTTGTTAGAGAAAACATGGTAAAGGAAAATGTATTAGGGAATTAAGATAATTGTATTCAAATTTATACTCAGTCTTGGTTTCTACTTGTTTTACTTTCATTGGCAATTTGACTAGTACAAATTTACAACAATGTTTTGATTTTTTTGTTTCAAATTAATTATGAGAAGACATGAGGATAGACATTTGCATCAAACTCATTATTTCAAGATGAAAAATAAAACCCTATGCTTACTTGTTCACCCAACATGTATTTATGGAAAACCAGTTCTTGTGAAGTGTGTAAGGGAGGGAAAAACTTCCCTCCACCCCAGGAGGATTCAGTTGAGTCTGAAATAAACTAACAGGCAGGTTAGCAAGACAAAAAGTATACCAATTCACTATGTGCAAAGATAACATGAAAACCTAGAAACACAGTGAGAGCAGACACTTAGTATAACTTCTTCAGGGGGCGGGGGGCGGGGAAACACACACACACACACACACACACACACACACACACACACACACAAATTGGCCCCAAGAATGGTGCTAGCCTGTGACCAAGTCTGTCTGGTTATGGCAACACCCTCCAGTTCTGCTTCTGTGATCTGAGCTGATGCCCCTAGCCTATGAAATTGCCAGGGAATAGTTTCATGACTACTGAGTTCTTCATGGAGGGTCTGTGTCATAATCACATTCATACTCTGAATAAAGACAATAAGAAAGTCCAGGGTAACTTCTGAAGAATGAGATTATGGAAGTCTTTAAGTTTTCTATATTTTTTATGCCTGATATTTTGTAAGCATAAATTATTTGTGTAGTCAGGGGGAAAAAACAAAATGAAAATATGTCTATGAATAAAAACAACAAGGGAGCAAATGAACATAAAATATTTGTTGATTAAGGCTATTGGCTATTTAGGGGTAGATTTTTGTCTGTTTTCAAGTTATTATATTTTCCTAATAGAATTTTAATGCTAGATTTAACTCAACAATAAAAGAAGCATATGGAAATTTTGAGCTCTTTGATTTSAATAATCGGCTTTATTAGGTATTAGGAGTAGAGGCCTCACTGTTGTTTTTATTTCTAGCAGGAGTAGGGCTGTGAAAAAATTAAGACACAATCTCTATTTGTTTGTAATTCACTTTTTCAAACTCTTGTATAATGTCCAGTTTAGATGGAAAATGGTGGAATAAACCTCTCTATTAGTCTACTTGTAATGAGCTATTTCATTACCATCTATTATGAAGGTAGCTTTTCTACATCATTAAAATGGAATAGGGTCATAGTTCTTAATTTCTTTTTTTTTTAAACACTAATTTTTTTGAATTTTTTTTAATATTTATTTTTTTTAGTTCTCGGCGGACACAACATCTTTGTTGGTATGTGGTGCTGAGGATCGAACCCGGGCCACACGCATGCCAGGCGAGCCCGCTACCGCTTGAGCCACATCCCCAGCCCCATAGTTCTTAATTTCAAATACTGTCATAATGTTAAAATACTTCCCTGAAAAGAAAGAAAGAAAAAAAGATAGGTAGGTAGGAAGAGACAACTAAAACAATTCCTGACTGCATTTCAGAGAAGCATCAGCAGCCTTGACCTTCATGTTCTGAGAAAGCCCAGCCTRTTTAAATGGAAATGGACCTTTCTTCATTTCAGCAAGTCCTAGTTACATCATTGACCGTTTTTCAAATTCTGTAATCTTGTTTTTAGTGTCACTTTGAGCTGAATCATTCTTTTCATAAATGGCCAAGATTGTGATATCTCTGTAGCTTTTCTTATTTAATACAACTCAGCTGCCACTTTAAATGAAAAAATTCTGATGGAGCATGAGAAATTTCCTGTTAATGAAGGCTTATGTCCTTCTGGCCATGAACAAAGGGTGTCTGGTACTTGCTAACTCCATTTAAAATTCGAATTATTTTGTAAAGTTAATTGTGAGTTTCCAAGTATCCTTTAAGTACTATTAAATTCAATTACTCATTTTGCAAACTAATGGGCAAGAGGAGAGGACAGGGAATCTCTCTGAGTCAGTCCCACTCACAAGCCCTGACAATGCAGAACTAAATCAGTTAAGAATATCCTCATCAGCTATTCTACTTTTAATTAAGGACTTATTCAAAATTTCATTTTCATGGTAGTTGTGCTTAAATTTGACACTTTGTTTTCATTTTTTTTTATTTATTTTTTTATTACTGGGGAATGAACCAGGTGCTTAACCACTGAGCCACATCCCCAACCCTTTTTAATTTTTATTTAGAGACAGTGCCTCACTAAGTTGCTAAGGCTGACCTCAAACTTCGATATGTGCACAGCTGTATACATCCTTTTTGTTAACAGCATTTAAATACTTCTATTTCCTAAAGTTATATTTATCAGAGTCCTGAATAAGGACACTGTACAGTGAAGAACTAGGTCTAGGATGTGGAACTAGACAGAGATGGAGACATGTCCATGAACCCACATGGCTGTTGTAACACCATGGAATACAGACATATGCTCCAAGGAGGTACAGGGGAGAGACCCAGGGTGGTCTCTCCCTGTAAGTGGCATGACTTAAAACAAGAGGGAGCAGACTTGGCTAGGAATGTGTGGAGAGGAACAGTGTGTGGCTTTACTTATATTTAAAATGTCTTTAGATGCAATGGTCTGGTAATGTAGCTTCTGAACTTTGGAGAGAAATGTCTTACTTACTTTAACACGTGATAGGTAGCTTTATTCTTATTTACACCTAAAAACTTAAGTTTAAATAATATATTGATGGAATCCTTAGAAATTTACTGAAAACAAAAACACTTCCATTTTAAAAGTCAAATTAAAACAAGCACTTTTGGTTCTGCAGCAGATCAAATTGGCTCTTAAAATATTATTTTAACAAATTAACATCACCTTGAAATACCATATCCTAGTGGTATCTGGGGTGGGGAGTTGTAAGGTGCATACCCAAGAGCCATGCCAGTGGGTAAGGTGCAGTGGCAAATTAAATTAGCTTCTACTTAGTTTATTATAATTTCAGCTACATTTTTATGGAATGAAGGCAAAACACAACAAAGAATCCAAAAAATGAAATGATGCAGACCAACCTTTTATTGCACCCACAATATTTTGGTCTAGTCCTTTCCGGTTGTCATTGAGTCCTCTTTTCCTCTTCCCATTGGGTAAGGAGTTAGCCAAAGTCTTGTCATCAAAAAATGCACACACCAGTTTTCTAAACAGAAGGCTTCCTGAGCGAGTGTAGTTTGACAGTATAGAGTCCAGYTGAGACTTAGGCATAAACACATCAAAGCCTTCAGCAAGTTGCACTTCTGGCTACCAAAAGAAGAGAAATATTTCATTAAAAGCAAAATTTGAAGCATTTGACTTTGGGCATAAAGTGCAACAAAAACCATCGTAGCTCGTAGCTGAAATGTCCATATCATGTATATGACACAGCCTCAGCTTAGTGTGCCAGAATGTGTACTTTCTAAAACCAATCATCAGTTACAGTTCACAAAACAAGATTCCAGTACTGTCTCATCAAAAGCAACAGAGAGAAGTACACTGAGAAAGTATTCCTGTTCTTACACATTAAGAGATAATCACAAAATCATGTTAATTCTAGAATTAAGGGTCGAGTCTTCTATATGAAACACCCTCATTCATTTTGTAAACAAAGGAACAAAGGCCCCAAAAGATCATGATAAAAATGACTTAAGTACAATTCATATGTGCTCAGTGCATTACTGTCTCATACATTAAATAATTTAATTTCTTTCACCTGAGGTCACAAATATGGGACTACTCCACAGGGCCTGTCCTCTTTCTACTATGTCAGGGTGTTAGCTGTGGAACTATTTTTTTAAACCAATGAGAATTTTTATGTAATTTGATATACAAATAAAAATAATGAGCAGGTTTCCAGGCCATTTCAATCCACTCATCACCCCTACTTTCAGGAGGAAAAGCCGAAGTTATATCCCAGAGGACCCTGAAAAACCAATGCACCAGCCATAAGACAGGGATACAGGATCAGAAGACCCTTGAGGTGCCTTTCAGCTTGGAGTATATCATACAATAATACAAATCAGACACATACTACATTCTCTATCAGCATACCACAGATGTTTACAACCTGTCTTTTCGTCTTGCAACGGGCATATACTATTTCCTTTCCAAAACCTTTTCTATCTTCTTCCTGTCATGGAGGTAGCTATGTTACCACTGGGCATCTGACATAGCATATGAATGTATTTATTACGCTGTACTTTGTATTTCTAAGGTCTGGCATATAGTATACACTCAATAAATTCATTAGTCATAATCTAAACTATTCAGTCATTTATTGTTGGTTATAACATGACAGCTTTAAAATGATAATTTTAAAATGAAGAAATGAAACTGGCAATTTTTATTAAAAAATGATATATTCAGTTGTATACACTTTCAAAGCTCATTCTTAAGATCTTTTATTTGTTGCTTTGTAAAACTGGCATGACTTTAAATTTTTTTTAATCACATTGAAAATGTGAAGATTTTAGATTTGTTTCTGTCCTGGAAAATATGAATTATTATTTTTGTTTGTCATACTGTTTTCAAAATGCCTAGCAAACTACAAAGTAAAGGATGCTCAGAGCTCAGCCTAGATTATTCGGATGACTTAGGAAGGCATCTGGGCCCTGTCTCCCCAAGATGGAATTTTTGACTGGATTACCCAGAAAGTCATCTCATTCCTCTGCTTTGCTTTGCATTCAATGTTTGGTTTCTAAATGCTTGGCAAATGTCACTGTAAAAACAGTGCTGTCAGGGTTTCCCCCTGCCTTTTGCATCTTGCTGCTTCCTGGTCAAAGGTCTGTGGAGGAGCTTGATAGGAGCTGGAGGCTGAATACTAACTCCTAGAATAAGGATGGCACAAATGAGGCACTCAAGAAATATCTGTTAAATGATTCAAGGTGGAAATATCAGGACTGAATTTTCCATCATAAGCTAAGGTGAAGTTTAGACATCAGCAGAAWTTTTCATATCCTGTGAACTTTTGATTCTAAATGAACTGATCTCAGATTTTTGCTAAGTGCTCCTAGATCATATGGAAATCATTAAAAATATCCAAGTGTATCTCGCAGCTATTTGAAGGTCTGAGGTATTACAGAAGCTCTTAAAAAATTGCAAGAAAGCAACAGGAAGGACTCCCAACTTGTCTCATTCCTATAAACCTCAGTTTGAGTCTAATACCACTAATCAGGTGCTTAAAATTTAGCCACCTGATTGCTGAGACTCCCAGAACTTCCCCTTTGATTCATCCTGTAGGACTTGGACTCTGACTTTAGAAACACTGACCCAATTGAGCTGCCAGGCAGAACTAGCCACTCCCCTCTTCAAGCATTGATAGTATTTTCTATGAAGTATGTTTATGGCACCTTATTTAATAGGGAGTTTGTGTTTCTCATCAGGATGAGCACTCTTTTGTATTCAGTGTGCCAAGCACCCAGCATCCAATAGCTATTTGTCAGAATAAACAAAGCGCTATGTAGAAATTCATTCAAAATGACTAGTGCAGATTCAGAGCTCTCTTGTCCCTGTATAAAGGAAGTGGGCTTGCAAGTCTGTCATGCGATAGCTGGGTATACACCACCAATGTCTTCTTAGAAGGGTTCATGTGCTCCTTCCAGCAGGAGATTGCTTGGAGAAGACTGTAATGCCTGATTCAATACCTGCACATTGAGCACCCTCTGTGGGAGGAATTTCAAGCTGGCTATTCTATAGTGCAGACTTATGCATAGATACCTATCATGCAAAGTAGAAAGTGAGGAATACTGTAGGAGAGATACAGAGCAAGTACTGTCGAGAGTCTTACTAGCATCAGGCAGGACTTGGCTGCTTGGGGGAGCAATGGAAAGGGAGCTCAGGGGTTAAGAAAGGGATGGGACAGCATTTTAACAGGGTCTTAAAGCTAACATTTAGGAGACTGTGGTATAGTTGTTATTTGTGCATCTATTTCGACTCTTAAAACTAAATATCTGGAGATTTTTGAGGGGCCAAGTCTTCCTACAGCATCATAACTGCACTGTGATTTCTAAGGTACCATTCAGGGAAGAAGCTATCACTGCTTTCTGTTCCAGTTTCTACTGCCAGACTGATATTGTTATTTTCAACTGTTCTTTCCAGATCAGGGGACATGAACTCACTCACCTGTAAGCACCTTACAAAGGTGTAAATAGTTTGATTAGCTGCATAGCAGCCTGCAGCAGCAAGGGCAAAGGTGGCTAAGCTCTACCCCTCCTGCTCTTCCTGGCTAGCCTCCTGTTCAGAGTTCTTAGCAGACAGTTACTGAGCACTAAGACATGTCTGTCAGGTGCCACAAAGCACCAATTTCTAAAATAAAGCTTGGGGTGGGGATGGCTTTATTTTTTTGAAACATGATCTACAGCTTCACATACATAGTTAAAATGGATTAAAACTCTTTAATTGCATAACTACATCTTTTCTTTTTATTTACTGGTGGTAGTTTAAATGAGATTTCTCTGCTTACTAAAGATAGTTATGACAGAAATGAACACTATTCCAAATGAGTATCATTTTAAAAACTAAACTTCCCTTGACAGATTCACTATTTGATACTCTAGTCAAGATAGACTACACACTAATCTGTAGATTCTACTGATTACTGTGGTAATATGATCTTTAAATGATTACATCCCAATTATGGGGCACAATTTACAACATAGTCATCATTTTAAGGGGTTGAATGTCTGAATTCCCATTATAAATCCGGATTTTTGAGTATGCTTTGATTATTGGGGTGCCTAAGAATAAGCACAATAATGTATAGATTATGCCTTTTCCTTATCCAGTGGTATCACAGTTTACTTTGGGAGAAGATGAAGGAAAAAACTGCATTTTGTCCTGATGGCTCTTCAAAATGTCCTTGGCTCCAGGCCTGCCCACTATTTTGTTTCTTGCATTTCAGTTGTAGTCTCCCTTTGCTTACAAGTAATTGGGGGTTAAGAAGTAGTTTGGGTGAGAGATCCATGCCCTTCAAGTCCCTATGAGCATATCATGTGACTGCCCTATGTAATCTAAAGAAAAACAAGACAATTTTTAAGGATACTACACAAATTAATCACACAGGGAGCATTTCCCCTATATACTATTTTATTTTGTTGTGGCATTGGGGATTGAACCAAGAAATATTCTACCACTAAGATACATCCCTAGCCCTTTTATTTTAAAAATTTTTTATTTTGGGACAGGGTGGTCTTGACTTTGTGATCTTCCTGCCTTAGCCTCTGAATAGCTGGGATAATAGGTGTGTGCTGTTGTGCTTGACTAGGCTATTTTATATTACTAATTCAAAATTATAGTCAAGTTCATATAAAGCTACATATAGTCATTGATTAGAAGAGCAAAAAAAGAATAAATATTCATGCTAGGCATTAGACACAGATTTTCAATTGCAAATTAATAAATTATACATACAGCTTTCAATACCCACACTTACAGGCACACACATGAAGTTGTCTGCATGAAATCCTGGGGTGTCGGGATTAGAAAGGCAAAGCTGGCTAGCTAGTTAAGTCTCAGACTGGCTCAGGACTGAAACCTGAAAGAAAACTATAGAGGAAGAGGCAGAGACTGATGAATAAGACTGATTTTACACTGCAAGATGTATAAGAGGATTGATAAGAATGTTTAAAGGATGTGAATTTAGTCTTTCTGTTCATCATCATATAATGATGCTCACTTACTATTTATTTATTTAGCCGTATATCAGATACATTCCTAGGAAAATGAGCTTCAGCTAATGGAAAGAATAATTTAAAAACACAAAAATTCATAATTGATTTTATTTTGCTCATAAATGTAATCTGCTTCTATTTGAGAAAACCTAAAATTGTTTCTGATAAATCAGGCCTGATCCAGGTAGACTTTCTGTTACCATTTATTAAATGCTAGCCAAGAACATGGCCAATGAAACTCAAAGGCAGGCCTGCTCTGGTTGGCCTAGTGAGTATAACTCAAAATAGGTATGGCCTGGGGCTGTGCTGGGCTGAGAACCCCTCATGGATGCAGCAGAAGCTTGCTGGATATACCATATCAAGACCAACTTTGTAAAGTAGATACTCTATGTTAAGTAAAGAATGCTTGGCTGAAAGTCCTTTAAATAGTAAGCTTAACCTATACTATGTACTAGCATATACTCAATGTTGAATAAGAGAAAAATTATGGAAATCATTAAAAAACTAATTCTTTCGTAAAATTGTGGTGGAAGTAAGAATTGAATTTTGCAAGAGACAATACAATTTGGTCTCTTGAAAATTTCTTCATGCACTTGC